AAAAGACAAGAACATTCTCAGATAAACAAAACCTGAAAGAATTTACCAGCACCAACCAGATCTCCAAGAAGTTCTCAAGGGTGTGCTATACTAGGAAAATTAAATACAGACACACAGAAATAAGAGTTCAAAAACTAAGAAAATGGCCAACTTAATCATAGGGTCAAGTCTGGAGTTAAATATTATATCCCAGAATTTAATTGGGAAAATCAAACAACAACAGAAGATAAAGTACATGAGACTGAATTGATAAGTATAATTTTATGACTTGACTAAAACATTGCTGATTTTCTTGTAGACTTTGTTAAATCTGGTTGTAAGGATTTTTGTCCTGTCTTGAGATATGGATAGGTTCATGTACCTACCATTTGAACAGAATCCTAACCTGTTTTCCTGGCTTTAAGTTTTAAGCAAAGTTCCATAGCATTTCTTTGATTTAAGTTAAAACTGGTTTTCTTAATAGTACCAAGTGAACTTGCAATTGAAAGTAATTAGATTATTTAAGAAATTGTGTGATCAATGCAATGTGGGGTGGGGGGAGGAATGGAAGATAACTGTAGACACCAGAGATAGTGTGAGAAGAGGGTGGGAAAAGACAGAGGGTTAGAAATAGGGGTAAAAAAAAAATACTAGAAACTAGAAATGGAAAATTTTTTATAATAACATACATGATCAAGCCACTATGCAGTATATTCTGGATGGGAAATCACATTTTGTATGCTGTGACAATGCTTAGGGAATTAATGTAAATTAAGTTAAAAAAGAAAAAAAAGAAAAGATTCAGAGAAAAAAACTAAAACTGTTTTTCTTGAAATTAAAAAAAATGCATTAAAAATACCTATTCGATGCCTGCAGTAAGATATATAGCCCCAGCTAGGTGCTACTTTATAGGATGTTCATTCTACTCACTGAGGCTTATGCCTCAAGTTGGACTTGTGTTCATGGAAATGTATATATCAGCTGTGCTAGATATGAAAATATTTAGATTAATTAAAATCTTTAGTGACTCAATAAAATGTGGGTGAAAAAAATATAGAAAACAAACATAGATACCTGAGACAGTGTGGGAAAAGAGTGGGAGATGGCAGAGGATAAGAGATAGGGAATCAAGGATGGGGAAAAAATGCAAAACATACAGGAAACAAGAAATGGAAAATTATTTGTTGACGATAACGTGTATGTTGATGTTCTTGATTGAGCCAATATGCAGTGTACTCTGGATGGAAAATCTCATTTTGTATGCTGTAATGATGTACAGTGAATGACTGTAAATAAATAAATTTAAATAATTAAAAAAAAGAAAGTAGGCATAATCACAAAATGCATTCAAGGTGAATAGTGTAGTATTTTTATCAGGTAAATGAAATGATACTAACTAGATCATATAGGGGAAATGAAACAAAAAAAAATAGATAAGAACCAAGGACCAGGGCAAAGGAAAACAGGAAAAATCCTAGATAGTATATACCTATCAATAGTTATTAAAATGCAAAATTGAAGTAGTAAGGTTAAATTCATATAAATGCAAAGAGAAGCCTATAGAATTGGTATACATAGGAGAAACGTGCCAAGAATGCAATACAGACGGGTGGAAATTCACAGACAATGAGAGAGCTCTTCAAAGATATTGGGCACAGATTGTGATGCTGTGCACTGTGTCGAATGTCATATCCAAAAGAAAAAACAAAACAAAACAGTGAACTGCTGAGTCCAACATAACAGAGGGAAAAAATGAAGTACATGTGCTTTTTCCTATTTCTTTCTCTAAGTACAATAAGGACTGTCATGTATATTACGTATAAAGCAAACCTAAGAAGATCCTTGTGTCAAAAAAAAAAAAAAAGGGAACCAGCAGTTAGCGTAATGGCTATGTCGCTGGACTCCCATGTAATCGACCGCAGTTCGCGTCCCAGACCCGGTGGCTTAAAACTCACACTGGGCGCATGTGCGTGAGTGCCCAAGATCCCGAGAGGAGAATGGAGGAGAAGGGACTGTGGCATGGCCACCCCCCCACCCCACCCCCAACCAGGGGTTGATTTCTCACTTTCCCTCTGTCTCTGGTGAGTACAGACACTCTATGGCCAAAAAAAAAAAAAAAAAGTCCTTTTTTGTGTGTCTTCATTTAAGAGAATTCCTTTTTCACATAAAGTTTTATTAAATAAGTGTGTTATGCTTTTCTCTTGTTAATCTGTCTTTGTTATAGGAGTGTCAGCCATGAACTTTACAATGGGTAAATAAAAGATATTATTTTTTTCTCTCTTACATACCATGGAGGGAAAATTAGTAAATGGTACCGTGCCAAACTTGGTGGTTGATTGGCTATGTGTCGATGCTCATGAGACCACAAAGCAAGAGGAAGGTAAAGACCATGGGTAGGAGGGCAGATGGTAGGGGGACGGTAAGTTCACTTTTTTTTTTAGGTTTTTGCTATAGGGTGTGTGCACTCACTGGAGAGAGACAGTGAAAGGCAAAGTGAGAAATCCCCCCATTGTAGCTCTGCCACAATCTCGGGATTTAGGGCGCATGCACGCGTGCACACACACACACACACACACACACACCCTCCATGATTGTCAAGGCCAGGTCTGGGACTCAAATGTGGGAGTCCAGTGGCTTAACCAACATGCCAGCGACGTATCTAAAATGGACAAATTCATTTAGTTTTTTTACCAGAAAATAAAATGGTATCCAGGGACTGGGTGCAGGGGAAATGGAAGTTAGTGTTTTTAGATCCAAATGTCTGGGGTTTACTAAAATTCAAGAGGAGGTGTCCAGTATGAGGATGAGTCTGGAGAGGGAACGGAAGCAGGTATATTCATCCGTGTGTGGCAATCACTGGGTTCCTGAAATTGGCTTAGAACTAGAGGGTAGAGTCTTAGAACTAGAGGGTAGAGGCTTAGAACTAGAGGGTAGAGCCTTCTAGCCTGAGCACCCCAAAAATGCAGCTGTGGTCCAACAAATCAGGTTTATTGCTGGGGGCAGTGAGGGAGAACATCCCCTCCACCCTGCAATTGTGGAGCAGCTAGGTAAGAGGCTGTTAGGAAGAACCCACTATGGGGCAGAGGCTCTGGTTAGTGGTTTGAAGCTGTGTTAATGACAGGGATTCATTCGTTCTGGGTTGGGCGCTGTGGGAAAGGAGGGACAATTACATGATTGGATGTTTCAATGAATTGCTAACAGGCAGAGCTGTTAGAGCAAGCTAATGATAGTGAATCAATAGTGACTCACTGTAGCCAAGAAGGGATGTTTGAACTTGTTTCATGTGTGCTCAAGACGCAAGTATGAGGTGACCTGGCTTTGTCTCAGAGGGCCCTCTCCTGAGGTTGGTGTTTTATCAGCTGGCTTATTTACAAGAGGAGAAAGATCTCCCTTCTTGCTTCCAGATGTCCCAATTTTCTGTCTCAAAGGAAATGGAGGAGGCAAGGAGGCTTAGTGAGAAAACCTAAAGCAACACCCACAACTCATACTCCCAGTATGGGGGGAAGAGGTCTGGCAGCTGTTCCATGCTCAGAGCACAGGCAGTCAGGGCAAAGGCCCTGAGCACGGAATTTCAGAGGCTATTCTTTTTACTATGGCCAGGCACCAACAATTGCAGACAGTCTTTGATAAAAACGCCTCTCTACCACCAGACCTGGCAAGGTGCTCCTCCCACTCACTGGGCACATTTCGTCCAAGAACTTTCACCAGATTACGGGCTATCAGAGGGGATTTCTGGGAACAAGCTGTATGCCCACTTGCCAGCTGGGAGGCCGTAGGTTCCTGTGGTGAAGTAGGACTAGGGCGCATTGCTGGCGGTTTAACTCACATACATGAAAATGGAGACGCCCCACAGCACGCCCGAAGGAGGCAAAGGTTCGGATGGATCTATTGGTAATGATACCTTCTGTGTGGCACGCAGACTCAAAGAAGCCCCTCCCCCGCCGCCAGCATCACCAGGAAAGAGGGGGCCCTCGTCCCTCTCTTCCAAACAAAACAACGAAAACAAAAGACACCTTAGCCGCTTTTGCTTTGTTTTAATTGGCGTTCCTGTGCACTTGCTGCGAGATCTGGATGGATGCCAAGGGGTGTGGCCCAGAGAAGCCACCCGCTGCAATTCGCCACCCGAAGCCGGTGCTCAGCGCACGGGGGCCAGGTTGTGCCTCTTGTACAGCAGCGCCCGCCTCTTCTCGCGCTCGCGCACGAAGGCGCGCAGCCGCGCGGTGGGGAAGGTCACCGGCGCCGGCCTGGATCCGGCTGGGCCCTCCTCGGTCAGCCACGGGGACTGCAGGCAGCTGGACGCGCAGGGCCGACCCCTGAGCAGAGGGAGGATAAGGAGCCAGGTCAGAGGAGAGGGGCTGGGAGGCGGGCAAAAGGGACGTGGAGGATGTGTGCCTTACCACGGGTGGGCACACAGAGTGCTGCGGAGGAAAGCCACGGCGCCCCCGGACAGCCCCGCGTAGCATCGGCTGAGACGGATGAGCCCCTTGCGCAGGCCTTTTTGCAGGTCACGCGTCCACTCACTGCTCACTGGGTACTCGGCGCTGAGCCTACGTGTGAGTGGGAATCATAGGGGACTCAGATAACTCTCGGAGGGGTGGGGGGCGGGGACTCTGAGATCACTCTTGGTTGCATCGCAGGCCTCCCGCTCCCTTCCTCTCCCCCCACCCTCCCCTCCATGTCCACACCAGACATGGACTCACATGATAAAAGCCGTCACTCCGATGGCCCAGATATCCGTCTGTGGGACAGCCTCCTGTCCCTCCAGGAGCTCAGGAGCTGGGGAGGGTCACAGGTGTATGGCCTCAGGTGAGAGGCCACATGGGATGCAAGAGCAGGGACTACAGGACTGGTGGGAAGGGGGCTTCCTCCTGCCCCCCCCCACCCCCATAGGCCAGGTCCCCTTACTACCCTCCCCTAGCCACTGGCCCATGCAAACACCCATGGTCTCCAGGTAGTCCTTGAATTTCTCTGAAGGCAGCACCTTCTCCTGGCTGAGACTCTGGGCATTCCCCAGGTCTACGATTTTGAGCAGGTTGTATTCAGTGACGATCATATTCTCCGATCTGAGGTCCAAGTGCAGGATGCACTGGGCATGCAGGTACTGGGTGGCACTCAGAATCTGCCAGAGGTAGTCCTTCACCTCGGATTCTGAGTAGGAGGCCCTAAGGGCAGACACTGCTCAGGCCAGGCCCTGGGCTAAGGCAAGGACATGTACACAAGGAGCCAGACAGTAGGTACCAGGGCGGGTGAGAGCTGAGACCGCCCTCCTGGTTGCTGGCAGAGGGTCCTGAGCTTGGCTGAGCCTAGTTTGAAGTCAGGCAGGTAGAGGTAGGCTACGGTCCCCATGCTGCCCCTCACCTTTCAGCCAGGCATGGGAGTAGCTCGGGCCCAGAGCACAGCTCCAAGATGAGCACCAGGTGCCGGGGACTGAGGTAGGCAGCGTGCAGCTGGGCCAGGTGTGGATGGCGCAGGCCCTTGAGGGCCTCGTATTCCTGCAGCACAGCCATCTTGTCTTCCTTCCGATAAGGGACAATCTTAGCAGCTAGCACCCGTCCACTGGACTTCTCCCGGCACTGCCGTACCACACTGAAGCGACCCCTGGACAAAGGGGACACGGGCCAGGCTGGTCAGAGACCCTCTACTACCTTAACTGGCCCCCTCATCTCCAAACTCAGAACAACAAAGACCAAGCTCAGCAAGTGGTGGGATGGTGTGGACAGTGATAACACAAGTTGGGAAGATGCTTTGGGCCAGTTAGAGGTAGGGTGAGGGTGGGAGCCTGAAGAGCCAGCAGGGAGGCCAGGGCATGGTTCCCACGTATCCACCATTCCCCAAAGCTCTTGCACCTCCGGATCTGCATCTGGAAAGCGAAGGTCTGCGTGCTGGGGAGGGGTGGGGCTGGCCGGCCCTGGCCACCCTCCACTTCAGAGGCTGGGG